CGAAGCCACTTCGTTCCTACTGCGGCGTGAACTACTTTTATAGCAGCATAAATTTTAGGGATTCGATGAAACAAAAATTACCTCACCTGACTTTACAACGGCGGGAGCTGTAGTAGCAGCGGATACAAACTGTCACTTGTGGTAACCGATTTCGGCATCATTTTACCAAACGCCTCCTTGTATTGGAGAATGGTCTCTTCGCTGACTTCTTCACCACTGCCGACCTAAAGCTTACAGAAAAATATGCACCGGTTCAAAAACCATGTTATTATTCGCACTCAGCTTAACTCCAATACGGCATGCAAATCAATTCTTTCGCCCTTTTTGATGACCTCCAAACATCTTCGATCAATAAACACTGTGAAGTGCTGCTCGGAAAATGCTTGGAACGTAGGCGTTGCATCGTTGAAGAAACCCAACTCCTGCAAATAAAAAATGAAAGGTAAACATGATTGTGACTGGGGTAGGCTTTGCTGAGAGGAAGAATTAAACACTGACAATCATATCCTTCCTGAACTGCTCGGCAATTTCCATAGCATGATTCAACTTGGAACCATCAGAATCCTGCACCGGAATTGAAGCGGCAACACACTGCTGTAAAGAGAACATATTTGGACAAGAGTGATTGTTCTGAATCTGAAACATTCTAGGAGCCTGAAAACGCTGGTGCGCTCTGTACCTAGTACTTCGAAGAATTCTGTCAAACTTCGGTGCTAACTTAGTTAGGTGGGGGGGGGGCAGAGTCAACCCTGCGTTGCGCAGTTCGCAACGGCACGTTGAGAGATCCTCAACGCACGCTGTATGGGCGGAGACACAGACGGCTCGAGCATGCGAGTGTGAATGTTCGCGCGAGAGAACGTGTCTAATCGGGCGAAACTGCGCAACGTGGCCGTTGAGAACTGCGCAACGCAGGGTTGACTCTGGGGGGGGGGGGGGGACTCACGCGGCGGCGCGGCGCTCTGTTCGTCTGCTCCTCCAAGCTTAGTCCGCCGATGGCGCGTATTTCGAAACTGCCACGTGGCGACGAAATAGTAACTGCCCCTTGGACTAAGCCTTAGAGGAGCAGACGAACAGAGCGCCGCGCCGCCGCGTGGTCCCCCCCCCCCAACTAAGTTAGCACAATTTTCCACGGTGTAACTGCGGGATGTTAGTTGTAAGTTTGTGAAATTTCTTGAGCCGCCGAGGCAGGTGTGGGTAGACATGTATTTCAATGCTATCATGTGGAATATCGTCGTATTCAATTAGGCGCGAGGTTCAACGTTGCAGGTTGGAAAAGTCTGCTGCATACTGAGAGCGCTAAGTCAATTTATCGTATGGTATTATTACTTCTTGCTAAATGTATAATGTATCACGCGGTCGTAAGTGTGTCAGATACTTGCGTCATACGGGGATACCGTCGGGGCCGCTAGAGATGCGAATTAGTCGACATATATAGGGCCATTGGAATAAATATTCTACCATACAACCTCATAAGGCACAAGAAATTTAATAATCTTAACTTAGTTCGTGTTCGTGTGGCACCATGCAGGCATCAAATTTAAATAAGGCCATAGTTTTTCGCGCAGCTCGAAATCTAACTGCTCTACGACCGCGCGCATCCCAAACTGGCTAACGCAGACCTTCACAAATCAAAAAAGAACGGATCACTGTGCAATTCTTGAAAAGGCATAGGAAACAGTCAATATGACAATGATAATTGAGAAAAAAAACAATGTAAGCGTCGCAAACCTTTAGGAATACCGTCATGAGTTCCTCTTGGAAAAAGCCTCCAAGGCACAACGACAACGGCCGATTGTTGAGAGTAATTTCGTTGACAGATGATGCCAAATGAGAGAAGAAGCGTTTCAATCCGCTGAAATTGAAAAAATGTGAGAACGTGCTCGGAATGTCCCATAAACAATATGTAGCCCTTTTGACAGTCAATCTGTTCTTCTGTCAGTGATGACAATAAAAATAGGAAAGAAGCTCAAGAGTGCAACGGTATGTCATAAAAGGGCATGTTAACCTGGCAGTGTAAGAACATAAAAAGCGTAAGCTCCTCTTAAGAACAGAAAGTAGTACAAAATAAGGCTGAGTGCAATGTGACTTACCTAACTATCCCTTCGATAGAAATGCCTTGGACGCTTGGTCTGACCTTAGAGCTGGCGGTGAACTCGGACGTGTCATTCTGAAACGTTCCTAGCAAATCAAATTTCTCTACTCATACAGCAACTACATAGACTGAGCAACAACTGGTATGACTGAAACATAACTTCTTTGTTGTCCTCCGTTCTTAGACCCCACTCATAGCGCGAGTCAAGCGATTACGCGTTTCATTCATAGGTCTAGGAATTCGGCTATTATGCGATTAAGCGATTTAGCGGCTTGCCGATTGTGTTGAATGGACTAGGAGCAGATTAATCGAATAGCCCCGCCCTATCACCGTTCGTCGATGCGATGCGTGGGCGATCCTCTAATCGATACGCATGGTTTCCCTTCAGCATAGAAGTGAAAACGTCGAACCACAGAAGCTGAAGTATGAACGGGATCTTTCTTAGATGTTCGCGTAGGCCTCAACAAATCCATCTGCAACCTCCTGAGCCTTCTAGTGCTCATGTACTCATATTAATTCTCTTTATTTATTTTTCTCTTCAGTGAAATAACGAGGGCGAGATAAAGTGAAGAAAAAAGAAAAAAAAAGAAAGAAAGTAAAGTGA